TAGGCTCATAGCCCCTGTGACTGTGCGCTTTAGGTCCTGTGATGGACAAGCAGGACCTGCCAGAGCATTAACCTCCCAAGAAGCCATCTTTAGCCAATGAAAGGTCAGAATCATGCAAGAAGTACTGTGGCTTCCTGCCACGTGGATGGGGCACATCTGAAGCATGCTTTTCACTACTTTCCAAAGATCCCAAGTGGGGTTAGGCTGCAGTTGTCCTCTTGTCACCTCTTCTGTGAAGGACCCTGCCACTAGAAGTACATCTTGATGTCATTTCCTCATTTAGCCAAAGCTCACATCCTTGTGTCTGGGGAAGTGTAGTTAGACACCTTGGATCTTTCAGTATTTTTTTTTCATTTATGTATTTGGTATGCAGGCTCTTACTACACAGATCAGACTCATAGTGATCCTCCTCTTTTCAGCCTCCCAGCACTGGAATTACAGTCATTCACCACCACGCCCAGACTCAGTCACTGGCTCAGTATGCCCCACGGGGCCGGCATGGCATGTGGGACCAGGGATCAAACACTGATCCCTGGGCTTGGCAAAGCAGGTGCTTTAGTCTGTTGAGCTACCTCACTGGCCCTTATTGTTTAACTTATGTGGAAAATCCAACGTGGGGTTTAAGGCTGCTGTCATTCACAGCTCATAGCCCATACAAAAAGTACTCCCTTGAGCCATGCACTGCATGGCCCCCAGCAATGTCAGCACTCAGAGTTGCATCTTTCCAATGCCAAGCCCTTACTAAACAATAATAACAATGGTAATTAAATATCTGTTTACTGTACATCATTAGTTCTAGGTATGTTACACACTCAACTCTCACAACAACCTATGAGGTTGGCAATACTATTAATCTATTTTACAGGCAGAGACCCTGATAGTTAGCAAGATCTGATCCCTTTTCCAAGTCACACAGTGGGGAGCAGAGTTGGGATTTGACACCAATCTGGTTGGACATCACATTCTAGTTTCCTACCTCACTACTATACTGCAGGAGGCCTGCCCAATTCCAATGTGACAAGGCTCCAAATGCATGCAAATTTCCCAGAATTCTTTTCGGGTGCCCCCAGCAGGGGTTTGAGGATTGCAAAAGCCCATGCCCCACATTCTTACAATGTCAGCTCTTCATTGGCAGTCTAGCTGTGATGGTACATGACCTCAGCAGCTTGGGCTTTTTACTAACAAGAAGCAAGCAGAGAAACTGTTCACCGACTCTCTTTGCTGGGGGCAGACGAAGAAGAGGCCAGAACCAGCTGCAACTGCCTCTGAAGTCCTATTATCTCTTTGTTCTGGAGCTTCACAAAAATGAGGTAAATGTCACCAGGCATCAGCTTAGAGGCAGGTGTGGAAGAGTTCTCCTTGGTTTGAAAGAGGCCACTACCCCCTGGGTAATTAGGCCAAGCTCCACTGCATTAAAGATGCTGGTGAAAAAGAATGGCAGTGAGCTGGAAGCTGCTCATGGCTCGCTAGCCATCTATAATCAGAGAGAGAGAGAGAGAGAGAGAGAGAGAGAGAGAGAGAGAGAGAGGATGAATTGCATAAAGAGCCTCACTGTCCAAGGAAAATTCAACTGGCTATTTTTAGACATCACCATAGACTCCTGACAGCCGCTGGAAATTCAGATATCTCAAACTGGGTGCTTCTTGGGGTAAACTGGGGAATCTTCACTGAGAAGAAGTGGCCTTGCTCTGTTGCAGGTGCATACTAGTGCCTTTCAGACTCATCCCACTTGCTGATGCCAGCCACTGTGAAAGGTTGGATTCATCCCCATCTTACAGATGAGGCAGATGAGGATCAGAGAGTCGGTGGTTTGTTCAGGGTCAACACAGTGTGGGAGAGAGCTAGGGTAGGACTTAGTCTGTCTCAATCCAAAACCTGCATTGTCCCCAGTGTTTTCCTGCCTTCTTGGATTTTGTTGAGGAAAGAAAAGCAAATCAATCCTCCCTGTTTATGATTAGGGAAAATCTTTTTCTATTACCTTGTTCTTACACAGAAAAACCTATGAATTGTAAAATTTGGGCATCCCAGACACATACCAAAAGGAAGAAGTTTAAGGAGGGAGAACAAGACACATTCTGCCCAAGAAAATGTGACTGTACTGAACTGTCTGAGGCTTCCCTCAGAAGTAGTTGGAATGTCCTCCTGGTGATAATGAAACAAAAGCATTATACAAAATTCTTCTATCTTTTGGGGACAAAAACAAAATCACCAGAACAACAGCACACAAAATCCACCATGTAAGAGACAGGGCACAAGTTCAGCATCTGTTTTTCCAGTGAAAACTTTGAAAAAAGCCACTTTTTTTCCCACCAAGGTCAGCGACAATAGTAAAAGGAAGAACTTTGGGAAGTGTTCTTCAATCACAGGATCACAGTTTCACTAAAATGCGGTCAGCACCATGGACAGCCACCCATTTTTCCAGCCCAATCAAGTTCTTTGCATCTTTCTTTCTTTCTTTCTTTCTTTCTTTCTTTCTTTCTTTCTTTCTTTCTTTCTTTCTTTCTTTTTTTCTTTCTTTCACTTTTTTCCCATAATTTTATTGAGAGACAAATAGCAATGAGACAGTTTCAAATCAAATTGGTATGACAGTTTCAATAATTAACACATTGCGTACTCTCTTCCTAGTGGTTATTTGCTGTACAAGATGCAGACATGATATCCTATTTACAAACACTATTAGAACAAATCCCTCTATTCATTAAGAGAATATAACTATATATCTATCCTAACCATTTTGAATACACAGATACAAAATGGACATTCATCTGTATCCCCTTTTTTGTTTAGTTCCGTTATTTGAATCTTATAGGTGTGTTAAATCAGCAAAATATTCTAAAAGAGTCCAGTACTCCATAATAGTATTGGGTCTTCCGCTTCACTGGCAATGTCAGAAATTGTTGACCTGAGTCCCCTACAGCTCAACATAACAGCATGGCTTTACTTCTTATACTTCGTTTTCATACTTTTCTGCTGGATGTTTAAGACCAAGATAAAGCAAGACCTATGCATATTTCTAATGAGCCTCACAAGACCCTTTCAGGCAAATGGAATTCCTTGCCACAGCCTATGAAGTCACGATGTCCTCAGATCACCAGCAGGTCTCTCCCTCTGGGAGGAGAACTCCTCTTGCTGACACAGTTAGCAAACTGCTGTGAAAAATTAATCCAACTACGGAGGAAGTCCATTTCTTGGTTCTTTTGTAGTAAAGGCAAAGAGTCCGCATGCCTGAGAGTCTCTGTCAAGGCAGAATAGCAGGGTGCTGTAGACATTTGCTCTGCCAACCTAGTAATGTTTTGCTACAATAGGAACAGCCCAGCACCTCAGAGACACGTCAGCTGGCTCTCTGCACCAAGCAGATGCCTAAAGCAGTGTATTGCTTGGGAGTTAATAAGCTTCCTTTGGATTTTCCCAATCAGAAAGAGTTCTGTGCCACTGCACAGGGAAATACTATTAGAAGACAGAGTTAATACCAACTAATGACTCTCCCAATGGAATCTGGTTTCCACCATATCTGTTTCCTGGCAGTTTTATTCATTTCTCTGCCCAATGTGATACATACCAGGGACATGTGCATGTGACTTGGAAGGCGTGGGGATCAAGGGTCAGGAAATAAAGAAAAAAGAGGAATTGGGGTCTGGGAAAAAAAGGACTTAAACTGGAGTTCAGGAGTACCCCCATAAAAAGTAATCCATTTCAAGGAGTCAGGTATTTAGAATGCTGCAGTCAGAGGACACCCAGGTTGGAGGTCAGAAACCAGAGTCTCAGCCCAGGATCAGTCTGAAAGAGGCACTGAAGCAGTGGAAGTCATAGCTGCCACTCATCTCCTGAAATTAAATTGAGGCTATTGTGTACTCAACCCCTGTTGCCCGTTTTTCTCTCCCATCCCTTCATGACTTACTTGGAGCCTAAGCATCCTCCCTTCTCCATCACAAGATCTTATGTATCTTTATTTTTTATGTGGCACCAGTTTTATTTCAGAAAGAAAGTTTGTAAGCCTGGGTCTGTTGTGTCAGGTCCTGGGGCCTCTGGCTTCTCACTTGACCTTTGTTTATGGAACTTTTGTCCAGAAAAGATGGTCTTGTCCCCAAGAGCTTCCTCAATCCTCATGGGTTGGTTGTATTTGGCCAGGTGCTCTGAGTGACATGGGGCACCGGTCTTGATCTGTCCTGTGCAGAGCCCCACCATGAGACCAGCAATGAACATGCCCTCAGCCTCCCCAAAGTGGTGGCTCACCATCACCCCCCCCCCCAGCCATTAGATTGAGCCAGTTTGCAGGCCTGTAGAGACTCAGTTACCAAGATGGTCTGATTAACCTTCAATGGTAGGCAGTTGCAGGCCTTCTTCTCAACAGCTTGTGTAATTCTCTTGGGGCTGGTAACTGTAAGATCAGCCCCTACGATCTGGAGGTCCATCCATGAAAGGAACAATGTCTATGTGGCCCAGTCATCCTGGTCAAAGGTGCTCAGTGGACACCATAGCAAAGTTCTTAATGAAGTTCTTGCACAGTTCCCCATGCTTTTCCCCCATGATGTGCCTGGAAGGGTAGTTAGGTGACTTGAAGTCAAGATTGTACCTCCCACTCTAGTAGAATTCAGATGCTGCCACATCCATGCCCATCACCACCTTGTGTGAGTAACCAGCTGCCTGGATAGCCATCTTCAGCAGCTCCAGGGCCTCATTGTTCTCCAGGATGTTGGGTACAAAGCCACCCTTGTCCTCAACATTGGTGGCATCCTTCCCATACCTGGCCTTGATGACCCTCTAAGGTGGTGGCAGACCACAGCACCAATGTACATGGCTTCCTTGAAGGAGCTGGCTCCCACAGGCAGAACCATGAGCTCTTGCTTGACCATCTTGTTTCCAGCACACGAGGCCCCATTGGTCACAGGCCCTGGGAGTCAGGATTCTCAGATCTTCAATGTGTTGGTAGAGTGGGACTCCCTTCTCAGCTGCTCCCACCTTACACACTGCCAAGGACACACCCAGGGTGGAACTGGCCCCAAACTTGGACTTATTCTCGGTCCTGTCCAGCTCAATCATAAACTTATCAACATTTTCTTGATCCATGATGCTTAGTTTCTTTTCCAGCAGAGGAGGGCTTAGAGTCTTGTTGATGTGCTCCACCACCTTCAGCATTCCTTTCCCCAGGTATTGGGATTAGCCTTCCTCTCTTAGTTCTAGAGCTTCATAAATATCCATGGAAACTCTACTAGGCACAGTTGTTTGGAATCGGCCCTTGGCTGTGTGCAGGTCCATCTCCACCATTGGATTGCCTTTGGAATCCAGGATTTCTTGGGAAAAGATTTCTGCATGGCCATAGCTGTAGGACAGCAGGTGGGAGTGTCTTATGTATCTTTCAAAGCCTTCATCAAATGCTTTCTCTTCTTTTGAGCCTTCCTCTGGGACTGTTTGAATTAGCCACTTCTGCTCTCTGTGCCTCAGTTGCCACGTGTGTAAAATGGTGACATCAATCAGGATCATGTTCCCAACATGGCACTCAGCCCATTACCTTGGCTAGCTCTGGATTTTTGCCCATGGCTAGAGTACCTGGATTCCCCATTCATATGCAACTTTAGAATGAGATTCAGCTCAAATTCTTCTTTTTGGCTTCTGCCATCCTCCGTTTATATCTTTGGTGGCTGGCCAGTTCCAGTGGTACTGGGCCTGTTGTCTGCTAGATGGTGACTTCCTTGAGGACAGAGGCTATGCTTTATTCTGCACTGAGGCTCTCCATACCTAGTCCACATGGGAGCTCATCAAGTGCTCTGGTTCAGGAGAAGCTGCCTCGGGTCCCCAATGGACCTATCACTCTGCATCTGCCTTTTCACCCAAAGTGCCCCTACTATGGTCTCAGTCATGGTGGCCTTGCAGTTCATAAAGCTTAGGTTCTCCTTTGGAGTCTCCAGCTGCAGGTGCCCAGGCTTCAAACCTAGTATAACCACCATTCAGAGCAACTAATGACCTAAGCTAAGCTTGGGGCTCAACTCCTAGAAGAAATGACTGACTTCTTGGACATAACACAAAGATGCTTTGCTCAGACAGTGTAAAGCCCCAACCAGGGCAATTCCACCAGACTGGGGAACCAGCAGCATCTCTGCCAGCCTCTATGGCCACCCAGCCATCCCACTGCAACGCCAGCAAGACACACCCATTATGAGAGATCCCCATGTGTGTTGAGGCTTACATGATTCAGCTAATTGAATAGTATTTGATGGCCCATGAACATGCCATTATCCTTCCATTGAGTGGTCACAACAGTGTGCATGGATGGTTAGGGGAGAGAGGGAAAGACAGAGATGGAGAGAGGGAAGGAGGAAGGGAGGGATAGAGAGACAGACAGACAGGCAGGCAAGCAGGAAGGCAGGCAGGCAGACAGACAGACAGACAGACAGATGGAGAGACAGATGGGCAGACAGACCATATCTCCAGCCTTCTGAACATTAACCAATGGAATGTCTGGCTGGTGACGTATACAGCCCAAACCTGATTACCTGTCTCTGCCTCAGCCACAGCATATTTCAGCGACAGAAGTTTTTCTCTAAACACCCCTGATTTTTGAGGTCATCTCTTCAGAAGGTCAAAGAGCCTCCCTTAAAATAAGTTGAATATTGGCACAAAGGGGATCGGTTGTGAGGGTGATAGATCTGCCATGAAGTAAAAAATTCAGAATACTCAATTGTCGTCTCAGTGTACCCTGGGGGGTGGGGCAGGCCCAGGGATTGAACCCTCAGACCCTGTGCCTGCTTGCAGGTGCTTTAAATGCTTGCAGGCACTTTAACTCAGATTGATGTTATGGTTTTACTAAAAATCAATGAGCAGTTTGCCTTTTTTAATTTGATACAATTATATGCTTTAGTTCCAATTCTTCAGTTTGAACCAATCTTTAAGAACCACTTAGAAATTTGTTAATCCAGTAAACTTTTTTTGCAGAACCAGGGATTGAACTCAGGCCCTTGTGCTTGCCAGGGAAGCGCTTATTCCACTGAGCCATCTCCCCGGCCCCCAGTAAACTTTTATGTAGGTTAAAAGAAGCTCCAGTAGTGTAATCGGTTAGCGCGCGGTACTTATATGTAGGTTAATTATGTTAATGAATCTCAAAATGTATTGATTGATTGATTGATTGATTGATTCACTCATTCATTCAATGACTGTTGTGTTTTAGGGACAGCAGTAGAAGGGAAGAATATTTGCATAGATAAAAATATTTTTCCATCCCCATCTCTTATGATTAAACAAGAGCAACAAGAAAAAAAAAAACATCATGACACAGCTAAACTAGAAAGCCCCAGTGTGGACACTCTCTGGCCTGGATTTCACCTGCCACCTCTATCCTCAGCCAACCAGGCCTTCAGACCCGAACTGAGCTGACCTTGGGGGAGGCTGATGGTGTGTCTGTTTTTGGGAATTGGCAAGCTTGCCAGTTGATTGCACTCTCCAGTCTATTTACTGCAGAGCAAAGCTTGAAGGGGCTTCAGAAGTGCACAATTAGAAACACTGAACATATCAAGCAATGCAGTTTCACAACTAATGAAATTCACATAGGAGTGACCTTTCTCTGCACACAGACATTAACTTTCTGCAAACTGACCTGTGTGGACAGAACTATACTTTGGGCAACAGTGACTGGGATTCAGTCTCATTCAAAGTATGGACTCAGCTCTTCAGAAATGCAGAATCTCGTGGACTTGTTGAACCAGACTACATGGAAACAAGCTCCTTGAGGGAATGTCAGGCACAAACAAATCGGAGAAGCACTGGCCTAAAGCTTAGAGATGTCTGTGTTCTGGTGCCTGTCCCTACCTCTGCTCTCTGCACTGATGCTCTGGTCAGGGTGGGGTAATCTCCAGAAAGCCCAGGCCTCCAACCCTCATCAAGCCCACCGGTCCATCTCATTGGTCTGAAGGTCATCTGGAGTCACTCTGGGAAACCACCAAGAGATCCCCTTCTGAGCACGGTAACTGCAAGTCAGCAATGGTTTGCCAGTGTGTAGAACAAGACTCTGTGGTCTTTGGCAAATTTACTCAACTTCATTAAGTCTCAGTCTCCTCATTGTAAATAGGTATGAATAACAATGATAATTACCTGAAACAGGGAAGCCAAGTAAATTGGGCACATTCCTATCCACCCACCCATCCAACTATCTACCCATCTATGTCATGTTGGGGAAGGGCCCCAGGACCCCTTCCTGCATGTTAGGCTACTGTGCTACCACTGAGCTGCCCCCTAGGCTCCCTCACCTTGGGAAGGGGACAGTGATGGGACAAATGATCCCTGTCCTCTCCTTCTACCTTCCCCTTTCCTGGGGTTGGAAACCAGAATGTTTTTTATAAGGCTCAAACCCAAACCACAAACAAAGCCCCAATGAACTGTCCCAGAGACTCAGTTTCCTTATCTGTACAATGGGGACAGGTAAACGCTAGTGTCAGTTGGGAGGGCCATTGTGAAGATCAGATATGCTGGTTGATAGAAGATGCTCAGAAAAGGACAAGAGCTTTGTGTTGTCACTGTCATAGCTGTCATTGTTATCATTGTTGTCATTAGAGACAATCTGCTCTGAGAAAAGCAGGAAGGACAGGCACAGTGTAGGGCCCAACTCAGCTTTAGAAACAAGAAGATAGGTCAGAAAGGGGGGTGCATCTGGTGCAGGAGGCAGGCGGGAGCAGGGCAGTGGGATGTGGAATTTGCTGGGATAGAGGCTGGCCTTGGAGGCAAGGCTGGGGTGGGACAGTGGAGGTTCAGGGGACAGGAGCCAGGGAAGGTGCAAAGCAGAGATCGGTGCTGAGAGCTAACAAACAGGCAGGGCCGACTCACGTACACCTGCGGGCTGACTCCTGCGCCAGCTGCAGCCTGTAGACCGACAGGCGGTTGGCCCCGCCACACACGCTGCCGCGCTCGCCCTTGCACTCCATGTCGCACTCGGCCTCGCTCACGTTGGCTGCCTGGATCTTATGGCCGCAGTAGCACTCCGCACCGAACTCCAACCCGGCGTGCAGGTAACCCCTGGGGGAGGCTGCTGTCAGGCAGGGCAGGCACCACTACGGAGCCCAAGGAAGAGGAGGAAGAGGGCACACAGATGGGGGCAACAGACAAAGACCCTACCGTGTGTGGAGGCAAGCTGGTGAGGGACCTTCTGGAGACAGGGGGCCTAGGGACTGGGAATCTGGGCTGGGAGGAGGAGAGCCAAATGGAGGCAGGGAGGCTGAGGAGTTAGGAGGAGTTAGGAAGACTTGGAGGGACAGGGAGACCCAGGGTGGGGGGCCAGAGCACCCCAGGGACCATCTGCCTTCCCTCTGCCTGATGGGTTACACACCCTACACATTCACCCACATAGGTACACCATGTCCTCAGCATACCCATCTGCATGTGTCACCACCAGGAGGGTATGATACACGCACACAGGAATGCACACAGGCTTGCACGCATGTGCACAAGCAAGCACGCATGCACACACACAAACACGCATGCATTCCTGATCCTGTGGTTCCCCATCTCACCCTGCCACCGGTCGTCCTTGTAGGAGACAGGAGACTTTCACATCTGCAGAGTCCACCCACTTTGTTCCAAAAAAGTCTCCCAGGAATGATGTCTTGGAGACAGTCTAGGGCAAGGTGAGGAGGCAGGAACTCTCCTGGTCCTCAGGAAATGGCAAACTGAGCTCACTCACATGTGTAGCCAAGGAAGAAATTCCTTCCCCTAAAACAAAAAATTCCAGACACTGCAAGGTTCTCAGCTCTTTGTTACACAGCCTTGGAATCCTTTCCTAAAAAGGCTCTTAGTGAATACTCAATCTGTAAACAAATGAAGAGCGCTGCTTGCTCTGGCTCTGGGGTGGTTGTGGAAGAAGAGGATGCACAAGTCCCACATAGTTTCTTCATCCGCTGTGGCCTCTGGGACATTCTCCAGTGGGCTCTTTGTGGAACAGCCTGCAAACTGGAGGTCCCATGAGGAGCCCCCAGTGCACACTGTCAGCTCGTATCTTACTCTGGATCACAGTACACTGGCTAGAGGGGCTGACCCACCCAGACTCATGCCTCTATACATGCCATGGCGACATGGGGTGACAGGTGACATTGCTTCACCTACCTGCCCCCCCAGGAAAAGGTAGCCAGAGCAGCATAGGTAACTGAAGCCTCTTGGCATCTGACTCCCAGCAAAATCCTGGGGCTCAGCCACACTCCTTCGCCTACCTGCCTTGGTCTTTCTCTTTCACCCCTGGTTCTTGCAGGTGGGGAACAGAGGTAGGGGAACCCATGCAAGACAGGATTGGAGATCTTCTGGGCCAGGGAAAGAGCAAGGATGCCAGCAGATCTGCTGGAGCAGTAGGTTGGTGCTTCTAAAATATGTTCATCGATGCTTGAGCACTCCTCCCTGTAAGGAGTGGAGTTCAAATTGCTTCCTCATTGTGAGCTTGGGCTGGACTTAGTGACTGCGGATGAATAGACAGTAGAAGAAAGGCACTGTAGTTCAGATCTTGAGTGTCTCTCAAAGGCCCATGTTGGAGGCTTGGTCCTTGGAGCATTGCCCTCTAGAGGTGGTAGAGCCTTTACAATGTTGGACCTACTGGGCCATCCTTAGGAAGCTGAGGCATGACCTTGAAGAGCCTGGAGGACCCCTTTCTCTTCCTTTCATTTGTTACTCAGCCAAGAATTAAGGAGTTTTGCTCGACCATGTGCTCCCACTGTGATGTGCTGCCTCATCACAGGCCCAAGCAATGGGGGAAATTGATCAGGGATCCTCTACACTCATGAGTCAGAGGAACCTGTGCTCTGTATAAATTAACGGCATTGGTGTATTTTATTATAATTAGGGAAAGCTGACTAACACAGATAGTTACTGAGATGCTATGACTTGGATAGGCTTTAAGAGTTCCTCAAGGGCCCACAGGCTAAAAGCTTGGTCTCAGGGTGTTGGGATTAGGAGGTGGTGAAACCATTGAGAAGTGAGTCCAGTAGAAGGTCCTTGGGTCATTGGGGGATGTGGCCTTGAAAAGGATTAAGGGACTGCTCGTGCAATCCTTGGCGGTTCCTGGGAGGATTGTTATAAAAGGAGCAGCCCCCCACCCCCCATCTGATTCCTGCTTCAAGGTATGATGTTTCCTGCCACACATCCTGCTGTAAATACTTTAAAAACCCCTATCCACTCTTCAAAACCCAGCTCAAAGTCTCGCTTCTGTAATTTGCCCTGAACCTTCCACGTGGAGCTCTGTATTTCTTCCCCCTGCAGGACTCCCTGCTCCTGTGTAGCATTTCCTGTTCCATGTATCCATCATGCCTAATGAATGTCTCCAGTCCCATTTCCTCACCTGTGGAATGTGATTTACACTATTCCTGCCTCATAGGGATATTGTGAGATTGAAGACCCCTCTGTTTTTCTTTTCTTCTTTTTAAATTTTGAGACCAGGTCTTATTAAGTTGCTAAATTGCCCTGGCAGGCTTGAACTTGCCATCCTCCTGTCTCAGCCTCCAATAGTGCTGGATTATAAGCACCTGTCATGATGCCCGGCTTGTCATCACCTTTGAGATGTCTTTTTTAACACCAGCAGGTGACACCTCCTCTGCATTCCCAACTTTGCCAGAACCTCATATCCATGTTTATCTCCCCAGGGTCCTTTCTGACCACCCCTCTGTCTCCCCTTCCAGGCTGTAAGCTCCATGAAGGGAGGCACTGTGTGTACTTCATCTCCATTGCCCCACAACTTTGCAAATCAATGAACATATCTACATCATCCAGGACTTGCGGTCCTTTCCCAGGGAGGCAGGGTCCTGGACTTAGCACCTCAGTGGCAGGCTCCTCAGGCAGCTGATTGTGTTTCCTAATTGGGGACAGCAGGGAGCATCCTGCAGTGACCACTCTCAGTGACCACTCGCTTGCCCATTTCCACACCAGCCATGGAACTGAGATCAGCCGAGCTTGTCACCACCAGTGCCTGCTGGCTGGAGTCCATAGGTGAGCAGATGAGAGGCCTCCTCATGAGCTTCCATAGCTTCAAAGGACCCCAGAGGCAAAAAGAGGAGATTGGCTCAGCTTCACAGCACCCCAGAGACTCCGCTCACCAACGCTTTGGGGACTCCTCCATTCTCGAAAGGCCAACTCCCCCCACCCACACCTGAGCATGACCTAATTAAAACTGTATCTTCTTAGGTTGGAAATGCTGTCTGTATACGTGAGTGTTTCCCCCTTTAGATTTCCCCATCCCCAAGCCCTTTGCTCCCTTCCTTCACTCAGACATCTGCAGGCATGCGCATGCTCAGTCACGCCCTGGGAAGTGGAGTGCAGCTCCTCCTAACCTTGTACACTGTCAGCGCAGTGCTGCGCCTTCAGCAACACAGTCAGCTACCCACACACACAAGCACAGTCCTGGACCCTTGCACACAATTTCACACAGCCTTCTTCATACACCACAAAATTATTGAAATATCAAGTATTGGTGCTGAGCTCACAAACATGGCCCAACTTCCTTACATGTTGAATACCACAAACTCACTCCCAGGCACACGCGTGAACACACACACACACACACACACATCTTACAGTTACACTATCACAAACTCCCATAGGCCAACCCTTAAACAATCCTGCTCATTCACCTGTATGTAAATTTGTACACACACATGCACACACTGGTGTCACATCTCATGGTCAGGGTTCACCCTCGGACGTGGCCTCCCACAGCAAGATGAACACCAAGGCGGGAGCATGAAGAGGAAGGCATTGGGCAGATCAGTCTGGGGGTATCAGGGCCCTACCTTTCCGCACAGTTGTCCTGGCAACGGAAGATGGTCATCTTTTTGTAGTCAAAGAAGGACACACCTCTCAGGGCTCGGCTCTGTGTGTCGTCCAGGTAGCAGCCGATGTACTTGGCTTTGGGGAAGGCAGAAAAGTCAGAAGTGGCTGGGGACAAAGCTGACAGGGTTACAAGAGGAAGCCTCGGTGTGCTCTGCTGTTGGACAGTGGCCTTGTTGAGATTTTGGTACCAATTTCTTCCTCTGGGCAGAAGGAAGAAGGATACAGGCCCTGGCAGAGGCTGGTCCAACAGCTGGGCAGTGCTGTGACCACAGGCCTTGGGGACTGACCAGGAGGAGGAGGGACCATCCTGTGGATAGGGATCCAGCCAACCACTCAGGGTTTCCTGGTGACAAGTGGGTGCCCAGGAACCAAAACTGTTGGGTTTCAAATTATTTTTTTAAAATTCAATCACAAACCATGTATTCAAGGGCCAGGAAGATGGCTCAGTAGAATAAGCGCTTGCCTGGCAAGTGCAAGGGCCTGAGTTCAATCCCCAGTTCTGCCCAAAAAACCCAAAACAACAACAACAACAACAACAACAACAACAACAACAACAACAACAAACCCAAAAACAAGCCAAACAAAAAAGCCATACATTTAATTTTCTTAAAGTACTTCATGGTAAATACACAAGATAGAACTCTATAGTTTATGCAGTCTTTTCCCATTTCTTCTTAAAAACCTTCTTTATATTATCTGGCTTCAGTAAGTGTATTATATGCATTTTCTTACTGAATCCTTACAGTCACCCCATGAGAATATTATTCCCTCTCTGTCCAGAGGGGGAAACCAAGACCCAGAGAGGTTAAGTCACTAGTTCAAGGTTCACAGCTTTTATGTCTGAAAGCAGAGCCAGAGCCAGGCATTGTAGCTCCAGAGCACACAACCTCAACTGCTTGCTTCCTGAACTAGGAGGCCTCTGCAGCGCTCCATACGAAGCAGGGACATTGGAATCTTCATGCTCTTTACTTAGAGGGCTAGAAAGTGGAGTGGCCTGCCTGAGACCTGCAGCTCACTGGTGGCCACGCAGAATTAAATCCGGGTCTGTAGGACTTCCATCAACTCTTCCCACTATTCCACTGGAAGCAATGGAAGGTTGGGGTAGATCAGTCAGCTCTTGGAATGACATGGTCCTCACAGAGAATGATGGAGGGCAGTACTAGCTGCCACTGGTGACTGGCCCTGGCTGGACTGCTGTTCATTTCCTGTAGTAAGAAGCAGGGTCCAGCAGAGGCTGCAAGCTCAACCAAATCACTGTGCCCCTTCGCACTGGAAATTGGTCTTGACTCAGCTACCTTAGGTTTCTTTCGAAAGACAGCAATGATCTCCTGCACTAAGAACGGTCCATCTTTAAAGGAAACATGGCACCCCTGGAGCAGGTGCACCAGACAGTGACAGCTCTAGAGGGCCAGCAATTTGTCTTTGTGTTTTCTCTACAACAAGCACCACCCTATCTGTTTCAGCGAGGGTCAGAGCTGGGAGAGAGAGCTTCCCGGCTGTGTGGAGAGGGCTTCACACTCGCATTAGCTCAGGAGCTCACTGGAGGACTGGGAGCCCAAGGTACAGGGTGGGAGGAGCAGAAGGAAAAGGGGGTGGGAAGAAGGGGGAGGGGAGGGAAGGAAGAAGGGGGGAGGAGAGTGGGGGAGAGGGGAGGGAGGGAGGGAGAATAGAGAAGGGAGGAAAAGACAGAGGGGAGAGAGGTTGGTCTGTTTTGCCAACCTGAGATCTTTATCATCAAATCAACAAATTGCATGAGAGTAAGAGAGAAAAAAACCTAATATACTGGGCATCTGCCACATACTATTTTACTACAGGCAGTGTCCCTTCTTTGTTTTGTCTGTTAGCAGTACTGGAGATTGAACTCAGGACCCTGTGCATGCTAAACAAGTGCCCTAACATTGATTCCCACCCCTGGTTCTTTTTTTTAAATTTATGTATTTGGTACAGGGTCTCACTATGCAGCTCAGACTCCTAGTGATCCTCCTGTTGTCAGCCTCCCCAGCACTGGGATTCCAGGCGTGGGCCACCACACCTGGACTCAGTTGCTGGCTCAGTGTGCCCCGGGGCAGGGCCAGCACAGCATGCAGTATTCCACCCCCAATTCTATTGCATTACAGATGTTTACTGCTCACCAGCTTATGAACCCAATTGCATAGGTGAGGAAAAGGATCGCTCTGACTCTTCCAGCTGTCAGCCTACAAGTGAGTCTTATTTTGAGCCTGTGGTGTATGCTTTGATAGGTAACTCTTTGTGTTACTTCTGGGTTCTCTTTGTGAAATGAAATGGGAAGCCGTGCCATCTTCCCGAGGTCCTGGGGCTCACGAGTTGCTCACTTCAAGCCCCCATCTGTTGTCCAATCACTTCACACTTGCAGAGTTTTGCTCCCTTTAGACCCACAGGTTTCAAGATTGGCACGAGCTACTGAAAGGTCTGAGAGGAAGGATACTAGTACCCGAGGTGGTCCCAGAGCTGGAGGCAACATGCCTTTGGCTGGTCTTCTCTTAGGCTGAGAGTAGGTGCACTTGGCTACCTACAGAAACATGATCCCAACAGGTGAGATTTTCATGATGTAGTTGATGGGAATGAACACACGTGTGAGAGGTTAACTGTAGTGGGTACCTATTTGTGCCTCCAAAGTACCCCTTCCCCGTTGTTCTACTTGCATCCCTTCCCTGCTTTACCCCTGGGATACATTGCCCTGGGCAGGGACGGTCAATCACAGTATGTGCGCCCACCTGGGTATTGCCTCCAGGGAAGGGCATGTGACCCATTCATTCTGAGTTCTTATGGATAAGGCAGGAGAAAAGACATCTGCCTCTCCTGACTGATAATGCTGGCATTCTGTAAGGCCAGACCTACCAGCAGTCACATCAGGCCCCAAAACCACTCTGCGTAGAAAGACAACAAGCTAATGGCAGAGATGGGTAGAGATGAGGTAGAGAGGAAATATGGTATATTTTCCTTTTGAGCTTAAGCTAGCTCAAGTTGGTTGTTGTGTCCCTTGCCACCTGGAAGGCAGTCCCATATGCTGACACTCAAGCTAAGCAACATGCTAGAGTCCACCCAAGAGTGAGGGTCTGAGACCAGGTCCATGACTAGGCCTGTATATTCCAAAGCCCCTGCTTCCCATGTACCATCCTAAGCCACGGCCTGGGAAGTCATGCCTGCACCTCCTACAGACTCACCCTTGGGAGAAGAGCCAGGCTTTAATGCCCCGTCTCCCCCAGTGCCTGGGATTTTAAATGCTGCACTGCTTCCATCCTCACCCTCCACTGGCCTGAGACGTCCCACACAACAGGTGCCCGTAGATTTGTTGAGTGACTCAGTGACCCTCTGTTTTCCTGTCTGTTGACAGGAGGTATAGGAAGACACACAGTCCTTCATTAATGCTTTGAGGAACATGGGCATGTAAACACATGATGGCTTGGTGAATGGGCTGAGCTCTGTGGGTCAGAAAACAAACAAGGAGCGTGTTTCCTACCTGTCTCAGGAAAGCCCTGCGACCCCTTCCCTGCTGGCCTTTAGTGCAGGCTGTGAGCATATGGCATCATCCCTGTCCTAGGAGTTTTTGCAGCCTGCTGAGCTCATCACTGTGGTTATGGCCAGGCCACTAACACCCTCTTCTGCCCTTTCCCGGGGATCTACCTCCAAATCCTGCTGTGGTGGCAGAATGTCCTGGAGACAGGGAGGTCAGCTATGTAAAGCAGGGACAGAATCACAGGCCACTCAAGGGCAGTTTAATAGCCAAGATCACACGATCTATCAGCTTGTCTCCACAGCGACCCAGAGACTGCTGAAGTAGCAAATTTTCCCGGACTGAGCTATCTATTTGAAGCCCAGAAACCAGCATCCCAGGCACCCTCCTGGTGCTGTGGGGCTTTCTCCTTTTTCCTTTAGTTTTTTTCTTTTACTCCAATTAATCTTTCCATGAAATTTTGCTATCTCTGATAGAGGCAATTTGTTAAAAAGGCAGCTAAGCACAAACTAATTTGTATGCCTCTGATTTATTGTTTGTCACTGGATTCACAGAGAGAGGCATCTCTTTTGCTTCGGAGGAAAGCAAAAGAGGATGATGTTATAGTGGTTGCAAAAGAAGACTCAACTTTTTCCTTTTCTTTTTCTTTTTTTTCCCAAGGCTGGAAACTGAATCTAGGACCTTTGCACTGAGCTGCATTGCAGCCCTTTTTATTTATTTATTTTATTATTTTGGAACAGGACAGTTCCACAGGCTTAGCTTGACCTTGTGCTCCTTCTGACCCTACTCTCAGAGTGCTGGGATTATAAGCACATTCTACCATGCCGGGTTTATCCAAACTCCAGGAAATATGATTTTCCCACTTGAGAAGTGGAAACAAACATTTGACTAGAGGTGTTATCAGTTGAATTTTCCTGCTCCTATCCCAAGAAAAGACACGTGGAAGTCCTAACCTCCAGAATTTCAGAATGTCACCTTATTTGAAATAAAGTCACTGTATACATAACTAAGTCATAAGGCCAACCTGGAGCAGAGTGGGCCTCAATCCAGTATGATTGGTGGCCTTATAAGAAGATGGCCACGTGTGAGACGCAGGTGCAAGAGGACCACCTTGCAAAAAGGAAGGAGAGGCTGGAGCAGCACAGAACATGGCCACACCAATGCCTTGATTTGGGCATTCCAGTGTTCCGGAGTGTGATAGGAGAAATCTGTTTTAGGCTCCCAACAGCCACTGTCGAAAGCACGTTATCACTAAAACTGCCATTAAGTGAAAGGAATCTATGTGATGAACCAAATACAGGTCCTGGAATAGACTAGAAACCTGAGAAATAGTTGTTACTGTAGGGGCTTCCCCAACATCCTGGAAGGGGCTCCTCGAGCTGACTGCCAGTGCTCTCTGGGATTCCGTATGCAGGGGGTGGCATTCGTGGCCCTATGTAGGTGTCACTGGGGTGGAGCGATACGCCATTCACTCTGGTCCTGAGGCTGAGCTTCGCGTGTGCTCACTAGGGGCCAGCTGGGAACGATCCACAGACGGGTCTCTCCCTGGGCATCTGGAAGTTTCTCCCCTCCGGATGCTCTTCTCAATGACTTTCTCAGGACTATCCATTTTTTTTTTTCAAATTGGATGCAAACTGACTCATTTTAGAACACTTTCTTAATACAACAAAATGGGGGTGTGATGAGAAAGCAGGAAACACTATATGCAAAATGTATGCCTTGAAGGAGAGGTAGGAGAAGGAAGGGAAGAAGGAAAGAAAGAGAATAGAAGGAAAAATGGAAACAAATCTTTTGTAAATAAGGAGGGAAAGGGAAGTTGAAGGGGGGGGGGAATGAGGGAAAGGAAGCATCAAGACTAAGTCCATGCCATGAATGTTATCATTATGTATCTCTGAAATGTACCAATAAAAGTAATTTTAAAAATAGTATAGCTGGGGCCGGCCAGATAGCTCAGTAGACTAAAGCACCTGCTTAAGCAGAGTGCAGTGGCTGGGGTTTGACCACCGGCATGCTGTGCTGGCCCCCATGATGCACTGAGATGGTGACTGAGACTGGGCCTGGTGGCGCGGGCCTGTAATCCCAGTGCTTGGGAGGCTGAAAACAGGAGATCAGTACAAGTCCAATCTACATAGTGAGATCCTGTAGACCTTGTACTAAATACATTAAAAAAAAAAAGTATAGCTAGCTTAGTGCGCACCAGAGTCTAATCAAATAGGGCACACTGGCCAGGTGCAACAGATTTAAGGACACTCAGACCACCCGAGTTCCCCAGCTGGAGAGCCCTGGGTAAATTGCTTAACCTCTCCATTCCTGAGTTTCCTCCCTGTTATATGAAGTTCGCACCAGTTCCTGAAGATTCCAGAAAGTGACAGATTCATAGTGCTCAGAGTAGTGCCTGCCACTTGCACACTCAGCTTCCTGCATGAGCATCACAGTAGCGACCTGATGGTAAATACTTTTTCAGCCTAAGAGAAGACTGACTCGCAGAGAGGAAAGACCTGCCCCAGGCTGCACAGCCAGCAAGTTGCAGAACCGGGACTCCTACTTGGTGTGGCTGCTCCAAGCTCCAGCTCTGACAAGGATGGCTGAGGCAGCTGGCCTGGCTGTAGGTGCAGCTGCACCAGGGCCTCCGCACTTCCTGCCCAGCTCCAGCCCCGCCTGGATGCGGCTCCTTCCCTTCCCTCCCCCCTGGCCTATGGTGGGCTCTGAACTTTGTACAGCTTAAGTCCTGCACCACCATGTCCAGCAGAGCCCTTGCAGGCTTTGGAGAAAGCCAAACATATTTAGCAACAAGTCAGAGAAGTGTCCCGTTTTTATTAGTGTTGATCTAATAGGTTGTCTCTATTCGTTGAATTTTGAGTAAGTTCACAGAGGACAGGCTGGATTTCTGTCTTCCTAATAAGAATGCCTCATCTCCAAGGCGGCATAGCGAGAGCCCTGAGATAGGGCTACTTTATTGTGTTCCCCTTCTTTTCACTTTGCATTTCATGTAGTAAAATTGCTGGCCTGGGATGGAGGAAGGGGTTAGAATAATATAGAAGAAGTGACCCAGGCTTCAGAATTAAACAGATCTTGTTTTAAACCTCAGTTTTCTAACTGTCTACTTGGGTAGTTCAGGGTAAGTGAGTTTCAGTTTTACTGCCTGTGAAATGGGATAATAGTAATCTCTGACTGTTGAAGCAATGAAATAGTTCTAACATGGTATAATCCATGAGAACCCATTCAGTAGGTTTTTTGTTTGTTTGTTTTCTTTTGTTTTTGTATTTTACGGAAGGGTCTACAGGGTGTTCAGGGTCTCACTACTAGATTGGACTCACAGTGATCTGCCTGTTTTCAGCCTCCCAAGAGCTGGGATCACAGGCATGCACCACCACATGCAGTCTCAGTTGCTGTCTCAGTGAGCCCCAGGGGCGGGGCTGGCATGGCAGGCACGGGGACTGAACCCCCAGGTGCTTTAATCTGCTGAGCTATTTAGCCAGCCCTCTTTTTTTTTTAATGTACTATTTTTTTTCCAGTACTGGGGATCGAACTCGGGATCTGACACTTGTCAGGCAGGCAGTTATGCCACTGAGCTATCTCCCAGCCCCAGTAGCTATTAACTAAGAACAACAGCAATTCTTAGATGATCTATAATGAATCAGAAGATGTGATAAGGATTTTACATATATAATTTCATGAAGATGATATATGAAAAGCAATGGGAATAGTGGCCACTATGAAGTAGTTGCTCAAGAAACGGGAATATTGTAATCAGTGGTGATATGCACAGAAAGCCTTCCTTGGTACTCATGAGCAGTGGGTTCCCGGAGCCCTATGGGAACCCAAATCCGTGGATGTTTATGACCTAACATACGATGGTGTAGCATTTTCATATAATCCACATACATCCTTGTGACTATTTAGGTCACTTCTAGATTAGTTATAGGACATAATACAATATCATGGCTATGGGAATTGTCACACTATATTGTTTAGGAATAACATGAAGAAGAAGTTTGTATAATAATTGGCACAACCTTTCTCCCAAATATTTTCTATTCAGGGTGGGTTGAATTTGAAGGTGTATGAGAGATACGGAAGACTGGCTGTATTTAATTCTTAGTTTTATTTTATTATTTTTATTTATTTATTTTGGTGGTACCAGGGATCGAATTCAGGATCTTGCACTTGCCCGGCAGGTGCTTATTCCACTGAGCTACCTCCATGGCCCCCTGTATTTAATTCTTGCAAAAAATGTGAGATGTTACTATTTTGTGTGAATCAATTTCATGTGCTGTAGAGAATCTAGCCAAGCATAGGCCATTACCATTCATTTAAGGGCCGTTTTAGGGAGCACAGAGGAGTAGCACATGATCAGAGCTGAAAAGGGGCTGGGACAATTTCCTGGAGGTGAGCACAGCTGAGACCAGAGCGAGAGTAGCACTAACTCTCTGCTGAGAAACTCAGCGGCAGGTACTCATTCATTCATTGATTCATCCAATCTTTCATCCATTAGGAAAGCCCATCTTTGCACTAGGCGCTGTCCCTGGTGCTGACGGGACATGGCTGTCCAGCACAAGATGGCAGCCCTGTCCCTCTGAAGCGGACAATGTTGAAGTAGAGGTATATAATCAACAGAGAAGCAGATGCAGACACAAGATGCTTGCATATGGTGATAAGGATGTGGCTAAAATACAGCTGAGGAGTGTGACATGACCAGGTCCTTTGAGTTAGGACACCCTGGGATGCACCTATGGAAAGTGAGAGTTAAAGACCCAGTGGAAGGGAAAGGGCAGGCATGCAAAGATCTGGGAGAAAAGCATCCCAGGTAGAAGGGGCTGCATGCACACAGCTCCACATAGAATGGACTTGGTGTGTTTAATGAACAACAAAAAGGCGAGCACAGTGAGGGGTGGGGGATGTTATGAGGTTGGAAAGGTGGCCACAGAGAGGAGTCTAAGCAAGATGAGGGGTGTATCTGTATCTGAGGTAGCCTGCTTGTGAAACTTTGAGGCTTTCAGAGGACCAGACAGAGATTGGAGTGGCCAGGGTGAGATGGAGCTTGGTGAGGGAGGAAACAGAAAGAGAAGCCATCATGGTTTCCTCACCACTGTGGCACCACACACTCTTCACCTGCACCCACAGGGTGAGCTCCTTCCTAGGTCACCCCACTCCATCTGAGAGCATCTCTAGAAACTCCATGCCAGGGTAGATGCTTTCATGACTGCTGTCTCATTAACCCTCTTGACTGGCTGAAAGGAGCAACCGTTGTCTCCATTTTATAGATTTCAAAACTGAGGCATGGAAAGTGAAGCCATTTGTTTGGGACACACAGCTGGGTGGAGTGGGATTGTAATAGCAATCCAAGTCCCCAGTGTGTTCTGTCTCTTTCATCTGCTCCTTCATCTCCACACAAACACTGGGGTCTTGCTGAGGAAGAAATCTAGGAAATTCCCAAGGGAGGAGAGGTGGGGTCTTCTGTACGGTTCCTGTGCCCAGCACAGGGTAAGATGGGGGGATGTACTCCTGGGAACAAATTCCTTCCATTAATGCCTTGGTGGGGAAGGGATCTTCTGTGAGTTGAATCATAGTGGAGCACACAAACTAGCAAAGTTTTCCTTCTGCCTTGATCAGGGGTTTACTCTCTCTTCCCATCTGGCCTGGGTTCAAGGATCTCATATGAATTGCAGGGGCTGTGGCTTCCTCCTCACCCAGCATGGGCAGGTGAAGCAGACTCAAGGATATGACCACAGAGAGCCAAGCGTTGCAGCCAGATGGGTCTGGCCTCCACTCCCACACTGCCTCTGACCAGCTGTGGAGTCAGGACCCAGGGTCTCCACTTACACAAGCTTCAATTTCTACCTCTGCTAACAGGGTACAGGAAGGTGGGTGCCTTGTTCAAGACCATGAAAGTCACAGAAAATTCATTTCTGACTGTGCAAGGCTGAAAAAAATGCAGTGAAATCTGCCCAGGGAAATGATGACCCCGACTGCCCCCGAGAATCATCACCAAGGGACCCAGTGTGGGGCATCAAGAGAGAGTTTGGCAGAGCCCAAGCCCTGCCACTTATTAGCCATGCAATTCAAGTGCCCCCACTTGCTCATCTGTACAAATGGGAATAGTTACAGTAATGCTTGGGATTGAGTAACAACTCAATACACACGAAAGGCTTACAACACTACTTGGGCTTGAAGAGCTCAGCAAACACAGGTTGTTTTTATTTTCATGTGTATTTAATATGGACTGATAAAAGCTTCCAGAGGTGGAAGTCAAGCTTTGAACCCTAACACACATAGGGTTCAAACTCAAACTTGTCTAATGGGAAGCTGCATGACCTTGTTCAGGCTACTTAATTTCTTTGAGTTTCACATTTCTCCCTGGTGGACAGGGATGACAACGAAATCTGCTACATATGTGTAGCTGTAACTCTATGACAGCTGGCTCCAAAAATGGCACATGTTTAAAATTTAATGTTGATTACAATAAAAGATACATTAGTCTTAGTTCCCCTCAAAATACTCCATCTTGCTCTGAACACACTCATCCCAACATTCTTGCCAGTTCTGGAGTTCCGGAAGTCCTCTTTTGTGAGGGGCTTTGGTTGTGGGGTTCTATATGCCTTGACGTTTTGATCAGATTCAAAATGTTTGCTTTTCCTGGTCATTGTGGCAATAGGGAAAAGCTTGAGTTATGGGGAGCCAGACTGGTAAGTAGGGTGGATGAGGATCCTATGCTTCTACCAGCCCGCCTTTCTGTTGGGTGACACTCGCAGCGACATTCGCTGAATGTGTGGTATCACACCTATGACAACAGTCAAGAAAGAAGACTTGCAGAACTGCTTCAGAAAGCAGTAAGAATGATGGGACAAGTGTTTCCAAAGACAGGGGGCATATTTTGAGGGAGGAGGGTTCATGGCAATGTGTCTTCTACTGTAATAATTTTAAGCATTCACCATATATTTTGATCAAACCAAAGTGCTACAAACTGTTCCTGCATCATCGCTGTCTCTCCCTCCACCCCCACCCCCATTCCTTCCGCCCTTATTGGTTGTCCTCTCCCTCTTACCTCGTTCCTCCTCCTTCTCCCGGACAACCCTCCCCTTGAGGGCGCGGTTCCAGGCCCCTCCGTAGTCGCCCAGCTTGGCTCTCTCGCTGGAGTCCTTGCCCTTGAAGGAGGGTCCATACCTGCGGGCAATGCTTGAGGCTTCAGCTACGTCGTGGAAGCCTCTGCCCAGGTGCAAGTCACCCAAGAAGGGCAGCTCGGCTCCCTCCGCTGGACCTCCCATGGCTGGGTTGGCCTGATTCTGGGAGACAGCAGGCTGACCCACAAAGCCTGAGTGCAGAAAGACGAGGCTGCCGGCAGTCAGGTAGAGGGCCAGGAAGGTAAAGAAGCGCACGGGTTTCCTGCGGAAGTACCGCTGGAACTTGAACCAGAGCTTGGCCATAGCGGGATCATTCCGGACTGGCTGGGCTGGCAGGGTAGAGAAGGGAGGCAGGAGGCTTGGTTGCCCAAGCTTCCCTTGAGGATGGAACTCTTGGAACTCCTCAGACTTATTCCCTCTGCACAGGGGAGCACTGGGGCCAGAGAAGGAGGGCAAGTCCAGAGCTTGGCTGAGAGAAAGGAGGACAGAACTCCTCGGCCTCCCAAATCAGCTCAGCAGCACAGTGACAGCCCAAGTCAAGGTGGGGGCAAGAGAAGGGACACATAACAGGTAGCTCCATCTTCCTACATCTCGTTCTTCACCTCAGAGAGGCCTCAAGGAACTAAAAAAATAGTCATTGAGGGGGGATCCAGGGGCTACCAGCCCAGGAGTCACTCCCTTCCCATTCTCAGCTCCTCAGGCCTGTCGGAGCAGGGTGAGTTCACTGAGGGCATTGACTCTGGCCTTGCCCACAGCTGGGGTGGAAGCTGCACATCTCCACCTTCTAGGAACAGAAGTCGATGGCCTCCATCTGGTCAAACATCAGGGTACAGGACTGCCACCTGCAAAATAGCACAGAAAAGGCATGAGGAGCTTCTTGCTGAGGCACAGGACATTTTTAAGGGGATCTTGAGCATCCTCAAGGGAAGAGTCAAAGGCTCAGAAAGGAGAGGCGGCTGCCAATGGCACAAATCAGTGCAGCAGCACAGTGACAGCCCAGGCTGAGCCTTCCAGAACACTGCCTTGCCTTTCATTCAGACTGGCATGGGTAGGGGAGCATGAACTCTCCTGGGTCCCAGTTTTGGTATAAACTTTATCTCAGCCAAGAACAGGTCCCTCTGGGCTGGTGGTTTATAGCTGGTATCCATGGTAATTTGTTCCAGAACCTTCCATGAGTACCTAAACCCCCAGAGGCCCCCTGATATAAACTGGTACAGTGTTTTCATAGAACTTAAAAGCATCCTTCCATATACTTTAACTCACCTGTAGACTGTATATAATGTCAAATACATTGTCATTGCTCTGTAAATAGTCGTTGTGTGCATTGTTTTAATGATAAGAAAAAGTGTATACGCTCACAGCAGATATAATGTTCTCTGAGCATTTTCGATCTATAGCTGGTTGCATCTGATAGATGCAGACTACAGCTATGAGGAGCTGGATGGATGCACATTGCTCCACATTTCCTACATATTTTCAAATATATACCAATTTCCTTAAGTCCAAAGAAACAAATTCATGCATTTCTCTCCCAGAAAACATTTCCTGAGAACTGGAATATACCAGGTACTACCCTCATAACTGTTGAAGGCACTAGAAATCCAGCCATGGCATCAGAGACAACACACCTTTTTCCCGCAGGGCTCGTGGCCTACGGGCAGAAATCAAGTCCACAGACTCTTTCTTCCATCCGAGGAAGAAAAGAAAAAATGAAGGGAAGCAGGATGATTTAGCGATGCAGTCATCCATTCTGTATTGATTGAGCGCTTACTGTGTGCCCGGCTTTGTTTCACCCCCTCTCCTTGTATCATCCCATTCATTCCTCTCCTTGGTCCTATGGGAGATAACTGCGTCTGGATTCTACAGCTGAGGTCAGTGACGTTACAGAACTAGAAGAGTTGGAATTTGAAGCCAAAATTGTCTGAATCCCAAAGCATAGCTCTTGACCACTGCCTTTTGATTCTGCTTCCCCCCCCCCACATAGTCTGATCATCTCTTGGGGATTCAAAGGCAGGAAGCAATATCCCATTTCCTCTGTGTCCTGGTTTCCGCAAGTGGCTCTCCCCTTGTCAGGGTCTTTGCGGGAGGACAGTCTAAAGAACCTCTGATTCAGAAGCCTGAGTGCTTGGTACACATGAAGATTCCTGACCTTTCTGACCAGTGTTTCTGATTGAAACAGAAACCTACAGGCATCGCAAGGTGCCCTCAGCTGATGGTGATAAGCACAGAGGGGTAATAGCCACTGCTGTGTGAGTAAATGCTCAGGATCATGAGCTAGGAGAAAAATAGCATGTAAATTAGAAAACAGAGAAACACCACTGGGACTACTGCCAGCAGGGGGCACCATGACAATTATAGCCAATCCAGTGAGGCTCAAAGGTTGGTTGGCAGTGGATGACCAGAGTTGTGACAGCTCCTCCTAATTCATATAACACCCTGAGATTTTAACTGGTTTAGGGTGTGACATCCCATTTATTCAGAAACTATTACTGAGCACCAGTCACCTCACAGGCATTTGGAATAGGTAAGTGAACAAATCAGATAAAAATCCATGGTCTTGTGGCGTCAAACTATCCATCTGGCTACCCATCCACTCACTGTCTGTCATTCACCCATCAGTAAAACCTACACATCCATCCATCCACCCATCTACCCATGTTTGGTCATTCATCCACTCAACAGACCACTTACCTATTTACTCAATAAGTCATCTATCCACTAATACCCATGCACCCCTCTGAATTGTACAACCCATTCATCCATTCAACTCCCTACTAATCTGGCTATCCACCCATTCTTCCATGCACTCAGAAACATGCTGATTGTCTATTACGTGTGCTAGAGATACAGGAATAAACCATTCAGAATCTCCACTTTTAGAAAATTGAGGGTCAACCAAGGGAGAAAGCAATTTCAACAATAACTATATTACATAGGCCATGATAAAGCCCGTAGCAGAGATATGTGTGTGTGCATACGATATTGACTGTAATTAGTAATGTTTATTGAACATTTAACCCAGGCCAGGCATTGTTCTTTCTATATACATACATACTCTGAAATACTGCTCATAATGATGCTACAAGAAAGACTTGTATCTATCTTACACAGTTGCACAAATGAGTATCGGAGACATTACATCACTTGTTAAGAATGACATGGCTGTAAATGGCAGCTGGCTTGTGATTCAAGGATCACCCGACTTCAAATCCATGATGCCAACCACACCTCTATTCTGGGTCTCTTAAGAATGCTGACAAATACAGACAGACCCCCTGAAAAGAGCCTCTTCACTTAAGCTTTCAGACTTTGGCTGAAAATGTCAGAAGGTTTGTGAACTCTTGTGTGGGAAGCCCTGGAGGGTGGGAACCGAGGAAGGGAGGGTCTATACCTGCCTGGGGGGATCAAAGAGCTTCCCCAGGAGGTGTCTTCCACTTTAATGGTCTTGCAAAAGAAGCCAGAAGTCTGACAGGAAGAGGAAGATGTCTGTGAATGAAGGAGCAGCAGAAAGACAGTCTGAAGAGAAGGGGGAACACACACACGGGGGGGGGGGGCAGAGGCCAGATCATAAGGGGCCTTGGATACTGAGCTCAGGAGTCTGAACTGTTCCCACAGCAGGCATGGAGTCCACTGAAGCTCATGGCCACACCAACATGTGAGGAAGACCAGCCTCTTACCAGCTTGAAGGCTCCCTGGCAATGGGCTGTGCCCCATGGTATTCTGTGTGCATCGTACATATGCCAGCTGTTTGTGCAGCTGGGCCAGGAGGAGAGAAAGCCAAGAGCCCTCGTGAGGGACCATCTTGTCTATATTTAGGCTACAGCGTCGGCTGTGGAACAGACTAATCTGGGTTCAAATCCTGCCTCTTGCACTCAACAGTTGGGTGACTGGAGGAAAAAACTCTCTCCTCATCAACACTAACATGGCTGAAGCTAGGAGGCTGGACGGCAGAAAATACTTGAAGCTCACTGCCACCTCCAACCCCTCTCCAGCAATGTGAGAGCAGCCTTCTCATATTCGCCACAGAGCCATAATCCTTATGTCTCATTGCTAAGTGGCTCTGAGCCACCAGTGGCACATACATGGCAGTCCCTGGACACCCATGCATGTACCACCGGCAGTTCGAGCCAGTGGGAATGTGTTAAAAACCTTTCCCACATCATCCTGAGGGCTGCTGTGGAGACACAAAGCTGCAGCTGCGGGTCCCCTGTGGTGTCTTGCCTCTCGGCATATTTCTGGGTCTCATCCTTTTTTGTTGCTTCTTCCTTGTTCTTTCATATTTCAACACATCTTTCCTTTAAGTGGGTGCCAGACGGGCTTTATGAGGATACTGAGCTCATTAGCAGCTGGCAGGGAACAGAAAGAGGCCGGGACTTTGGTGGTGTGGGACAGGAAAGGAGCTGTGGTGAGAGGGACAGGCAAGAGGGGCTGTGTTCGCACGCACACAGAGCTCCGTTCCCTTCCCAGGAGGGAAGGTGCTGACCTGAGCCACCCACCCCCATCCTGTGAGTGCTAGGAGGAGGAGCGCCCTGGAATCTGAGTCCCACGTGGGTAAAAGGACATCTGCACTATTGTCCCTTCTTCTCAAGCACTGGTAGAGGAAATGAGTGGAACGAGAGGGACTGCCCACTGCAGAGGGGCAGGCAGAGTGGGGTCCACATCTGTGACCAGAGCTGCATGCTGCGTGCCAGCACACTCAGGCCTTGGAATGCTACAATTCTGGACTCAGTGGAAGCGGTAACTCGTGCTATTCAGAACTGAATGGTTCTAGGGTCCCTCCTGAGCCCTCAAGGGAACCCCCTGCCCCCATGTGCATCAGCCCCTCCTGTCTCTCCCTCTCCATCTCTGTCTCTCCAAGTGCCTATCTCTTTCTAGCTGCCATTGGTGAACACCTACCCCATGCTGGGTCCTGCACTTATGGGTCATAGAGCCATGCTCCTCCCCCCAGCGTGTGAGACAAGCTGGGTGGGTCTCCCCACTCCACAGGTGGGGTCGGCCTTCAGCAAGCCCTTTCCTTCTCTGCCTGATTGGCTGAGAACATTGAGGATTGTGACCACACCAGCACCCTCTTCCCCCACCTGATGGATGGGTTGCAGCTTTTCCTCCACAAAGTGAACCCAGCACAAAACATCCTGGGTGGGGACCAGACAATCTGCAGAGCTGGCATCGCCCTCACTGAGCGCGTCGTTACTCCTCATTTCCTGCGTGGCCCTCCCAGCTGCAGTGCCCCCTTCTGTGGACCGCGGGGATGACCTAGGGGAGTTAGCAGAGCATCTCACAGGGATCAGGCTGAGGGCTCCTTTGTGGGACAGCAGCCTTCATTACTGCGGTTTGTGTTTCCAACAGGAGTCTCAGAGTATCTAAGCACAGCCTATTTTTAGCACCAAAACAAACCTCTGGGGTTGAGCTGCCAAGAAAAAGATGGGCGGGTATAGCTGCCCTGTAGGGCAGGGAAGTGAGAGGCACAACCTGGCCTGTGTGTTCTCCCCAAGGGGTGAAAAGACTCAGGGGAAGGGAGGGCCAGGTCAGGATGGAAGCCGCCAAGCTTGCTGTGGGAGACAGAGGCAGGCTGGGCAAGCCTGGAAACCAGCTGACCCTCTGATCACCCAACATTGGCCAAGAAGTAGCTGCTGAGAAACCTGATTTGCAAAGCCTTCTCAAGGCTGGGTAGGAGGCCCCCTAGGAACTGGGGAACCCCAGGAAACAGCGAAGCCAATGCTAGAGGTGAAATCTGAGTCTTAGCCTGATCATAGAGGCATCTGAAATCACTCTGTTTGCTGAGCACTTACTATGTGCTGGGCAGTGTGCTAAGTACCTTACTACCATTGGGCTGTTTACTCCT